TACAAGAAAATCCAACACCTCTACAACAAAAAGACAAATAATCCTATTAAAAAATGGGCAAAGTAAATGAACAGACACTTCACCAAAGAAGACATTCAAGCGGCCAACGGACACATGAGGAAATGCTTAGGATCACTAGCAATTAGAGAAATGCAAATTAAAACCACAGTGAGATACCATCTCAACCTGGCATTACTGGCACGAATCAAAAAAACTGGAAATAATAAATGTGGGAGAGGCTGCAGGGAGATAGGAACTCTTATGCACTGCTGGTGGTAATGCAAAATGATACAACCATTTTGGAAAATGATATGGCGCTTCCTTAGAAAGCTAGAAATAGAAATACCACACGATCCAGCAATCCCACTCCTAGGAATATATCCTAGAGAAATAAGAGCCGTCACACGAACAGACATATGCACATCCACATTCACTGCAGCACTGTTCACAATAGCAAAAAGATGGAAACAACCTAGATGCCCATCAACAGATGAATGAATAAACAAACTATGATACATACACACAATGGAGTACTATGCAACGATAAAGAACAATGATGAATCTGTGAAGCATCTCATAACATGGATGAAACTGGAGGACATTATGCTGAGTGATGTAAGTCTATCACAAAAGGACAAATATTGTGAGACCACTACTGTAGAAACTCATGAAAAGGTTTATACACAAAAAGAAACAATCTCTGGTGGTTACAAGCGATGGGAGGGGCAGGAGGAGGGAATACTAAATAGACAATAGATACGTGGTAACTTTGGTGAAGAATAAGACAGTACACAATACTGTTGAAGCCAGCACAACTTATACAAGGCAAGGTCATGGAAGCTCCATAGACACATCCAAATTCCCTATGGGACCGAACTGCTGGGCGGACTGCTGTGGGGACTATGGTCTTGGGGAACATCTAGCTTAACTGGCATAACACAGTTTATAAAGAACATGTTCTACATTCTACTTTGGTGAGTAGCATCTGAGGTCTTAAAAGCCTGTGAGTGGCTGTCTAAGATACTCCACTGGTCTCACCCCTTTGGAAGCAAGGGAAAATGAAGAAAACAAGATACAAGGGAAAGATTAGTCCAAACGACTAATGGACCACAACTACCACGGCCTCATCAGACTGAGTCCAGTACAACTAGATGGTCCCTGGCTACCACCACTGACTGCTCTGACGGGGATCACAACAGAGGGTTCTGGACAGAGCTAGAGAAAAATGTAGAACAAAATTCTAACTCACAAAAAATGACCAGACTTACTAGCCTGACAGAGACCAGAGAAAACCCAAGAGTATGGCCCCCGGACACCCTTTTAGCTCGGTAATGGAGTCGCTCCCGAGGTTCACCCTTCAGCCAAAGATCAGACAGCCCTGTAAAACAAAACAAGGCTAATGGGGCACATCAGCCCAGCGATAAAGACTAGAAGGCAGGAAGGGACAGGAAAGCTGGTAATAGGGAACCCACGGTTGAGAAGGGGCAGTGTGTTGACGTGTCATTGGGTTGTTAACCACTCATAATACAGCATGTGTACTAAGTGTTTAATGAGAAACTATGTGTTCTATAAACCTTCATCTAAAATACAATTAAAAAAAAGTTATCAAATTACAGAAACTATAACAGAAACAACGTATCTGTCAGATCTTTGAAAGGATGTGTTTCTAAGTTTTTAGGAAGCTTTCTAAAATCACAAAGAAAAAGATGTTAAAAATTACAATAAAGATATTTGACGAAAATATAAAAATATTAATCTTTTATTATATAAAGTTTAACACGTTAATAAGCAGACAAAAATTCGCATGAAGGAAGCTCACTCTTGAGAATTTATCCTAAAAAGATAAATCAAAAGGTGGAAAAAATATATGTAGGAAGACATTCAAAACAGCAATTCTAAAATATTGAATACAATGTGTGTCCAATATGAGACTATTATGTTATAGAATAGTTACAAAATATAATCATTAAAATTTTAATTATAAAGATAAAAGAAAAACGTGAAAAATTAATATATAATGTAATGTTTGGTTAAAAATACATACAATGCAATGTTTTGTTTAAAAATGCAAAATTTCTCCTTCAATATGAAATTATGCATACATATTAGAAATGAATATGGAAAATGAAGAGCTGACTTCTTACAGTGATAAAATTATGGGGGTTTATTTTTAAATTCCCACTGGGGAAAATAAGGCACTGATGGTTATTAACATACAGTATTAATAATAATGTTATGACAGATACATTTTTAACTTATTCTAGTTTTAGGATATCCCAAATTCACAGGACAAAGGATGAACATCAATAAAATAAAATCATGTATGTAAGACCCACCCGCCATCAAGAGAAACGTTTATTATTTTACCTTTGTGTCGTTCATCTTCAGCAACCATCCTCTCAAAAACAACAGTAACAACTTGTCGCACTGTAGCAGCAGCTGTATTATTTGTAATATTATCTTTTGTGAAGTGTAGTCGAAAACAAAGAACAATTGCCTAAAAATCAATTTTCATTTAGTGTGAAATAAGACTGAAGAGCATGGCTGTTACCTTTATCTGACGTGACCCATGAATTATAACAGAACAATTATTTAAAGTCCAAAGAAATTTTTAAAAACAAAGCATTAATTGAAGACTCTTCCTTACTCTTTGCACGTTGTTTTTTAGAAATATTTCATAATTAAAGTTTTTCAAGAGTGATATATATAATACAACAGCTGTTATATATTATCAAAGAGGGTGGGAGTGGGGAGGAAACAAGAAATAGGTATCATACATACACCTTATCTAGTGTAAATGCTGAAAGAAGTCTTTCAAGCCACTTAAGGGACACAGGTAAATTTAAACTGACTTATATATCACATCCATCTGAAAATTATTTTTAAAGGGGGAAGGGCTATCACAGGGAATCTAAAATACTCAAGGCAATTGTGTAGAACACTGACACCTCTCAAAACATTTTTTCTCACTTCCCTTTTCCTCTACTCCTATTCTTCTGCTACTTTTCTCTTTCCTGTTGGTAACTAAGCCTGTCAGCTGTACCCAAAAGGCTTTACTTAAGCACCCTAACCTGATTTCAACTCTAATCGGGAGAAAACAAGGCACTGATGGTATTATGTATAATGTCAATCATCACAATAGCTACAGGGAAGTTGGTTCAAACAGCATCAGACTTTTCTCTTTTGGACAGTTTATTCAAATACTGCTCAAAACACTTATATACTTTTGCAAACAGATTTCCTACCTTAGAGAGTGCCTCGTCATGAACTACTGTATTGGTTGTCAAAAGAACAAGAACTGTTTGAAGTAGCTTAAGTTCTTCAAGACTATTTTCCATTAGCTGCCAAAGCATGTTAATTATATTTCCAGCTGCAGTCTGTAAAATAATTATTTTAATTACTGTCAACAAATAAAATATGCTTTAGGTCCCTAAGTGAGAAAATGTGCATAAACCGTCCCTCTCCTGGAGAGAATTTCTTTATCACAACAACAAACGTCATGTTTTTCAGATCTGCTGTCCCAAACACACGTCTCTCAATCAACTTGAGACATGAAATCAATTAATTTTCTTTTCAAAAAAGTAATTTCTCTAGAATGTAATATCCTCTTTGCATAAACTCAAATAGCAGCATGCAGTTCTGAAATACCTAGTCAAAATTAAAGTTCATTTCTACAACAATATGAGTGTATTTCATTTGGACATTTATAAATAATATGGACATACCCAAATTAACTGAGTCTGCTACTAGTTATTTATTATTTCACCTACAAAATGTTATAGAAGTAGCAAAATGCAACTTAAATTAATAACATATTTATAAATTCAATTAAATCTGACATTGTTTAGGACACCATACTAAGGGCAAAAGAATTTACCACTTCTATTATAGTACCTTATGGAATACAGGATTAAGGTAATATCATTAAATTTGAAAGCAGGATGCATATTCATAGGGATGAAATCCTTTTTTCTTGCTTTACCATCATAAGGTTAGATACAAACAACGCACTAAAGTTAATGAACAACCAATTATCAATTCAGATGATCTAGGAAATAAACCAACAGTTTTCCCATTTAAAAAAAATTTCTGAATTACATTAAATAACTATGCGATAACACTGAAAATTTGCTTTGATTCTCAAAATTGTCATCTATATCACTGAACTGTGACTTCTGAGATTACAAACGACTTGATATAATGCACTTTATCTTTATTCATTATTTAAGAGTGTTTAATAATTAGACAGTTTGGCAACATTTTTAAATTAAGCACTTCCTTCAAGCACATTGTTATTTATAACACTGACTCACATTAAATATTAAGTATGATTTATTCTCCCCTTATAAAAATTCCTGATTCTATTCTTAGGTGCACATTTCAGATAAAAATGTTCATATTACCTCAGATACGACTTCATGTGACATTAGCCTCTGAATGGCTGCCAAACATAGCTGAGTGATCTTCGGTTCCTTGGTTCCACACCCCATTAAAAAAGGCTGAACAACTTCTGAGCTATTCTCTTTCAATGCTTTAGATACATATAAAGTAAATTATTAAATTTAATTCATAATTTGGAATAGATATTTTGTTTAATTACAAGCAGTAATGACAATCTTACTAAGAAGTACTTTATGGAAAATAAACACCAAAATAAAAGTCTTGTAGTAAAAGTTAAAATACTTCAGCTAGAAACTGCAGATATTGTACCTAAACTACACCCCTTAACTACAGTTATCCTTCTTTCTCCTAACACTCTGTCCTTTGGTTCTCCTCCATCTTCTGCTACAAACTCTAAGGACATTTAGTGTACGGGTTCTCAGAAATTCTATGCTGCCTCAGAGAAGCACTCTATTTCTTATAGTACAGGAGGGACACTATAAGAATTTATACCCCAGAGCAGAAAAAGTAATTTAAAATAGTATATAGATACATCCCAACACATTTGTGAATGAATATTCAGAAGCTCCCTAGAATTTTACTATACGCCTTGAATTTATGTATTATTTTTTCTTCAAGAAATAAACACAACTCATTAAAAACAATAATATCACTCTCATTACTGAAACATTACTTTAAATTAATTATACGTGTATGCTGTAATTCCAAACCTTAATGTAATTCCTTCTACCAAGCCAATTCTTTGAGAAGTTTTCAAGTGGCAACAAAAATATATGAGGCTAGAAAATGCACAAACTGAATTATACATAATTAAATCTACAAAATGAAATTAAATCAACACACACTGAATGGCTACACAAAGATGAGTAAGACAGGTCTGTTAACCTCAGGAAATGTGAATAAATAACATGGAATTTTAAGTCAAGAAAACACTAAACGTATGTTTGGTATGTTTTCAAAGGAACTAAATCCATCAATCAATTGAGGCAAGACATGTAAAAAAAGACATACAAATCTGAGTTTTTAAAATATTTTTTCAAAGGAAATTTAGAAAAAGTCGTCCAGAATCAACATTAAAATTGTAAAATCAGTGTTAACTTTATCATCTAAATCCCCACCTTTCCTCTCCCAAAGCTCCCTTTATGTTATCATAAATAAAGACTATAATTTCCTGTTACAGCAAGCTGTGCAAAGTTCCTCAGTACGCCAGCACAAATTACTGATTCAGGAGGTCTAAGAAGTGGCAAATATGACTGGCAAAAAATGTATTTCCGAAAGGGTTCTCTCTCATTTCCTTCCTTTCTTATATATAAGGGTTTTACACATGTATACCAATGTCTCAAACCATTGATATGAATACCTGAAAGATGACTATAAAGTTAAAAAAAAACTACTCTGAAGCAGTGGTTAAATATCCTATCATATTCAATCTTGCCAGAATCACTAGACTATAAAGCTACCCCTACCTTCACTGAACATTCTTTATTATTAAATGTTATTCAGTCAAATTCAAAGCTTTCAATAGTAACAAGGTACATTTGTAATGTTTATGATGTTAATATGTATTTCTCATTTGATCATCATAATAAATCTTATAGAATTTATGATGGCCCAAGACCTGATTTGGCCCAAGTGAAACAATAAATAGATGGTAAAGTCAGAATCTGAAAATAAGTCTTCTAACTCCTGGTTCTGTATCTTCCTACAACATCACGCTGCCACTCTTTAAGGTAAACAGCACTCCAATGATAATGGAAGTTAAAAATGCCAAAAAAGAACCAATGATATTCACTTTAAAGTTGTCTGCCTAAAGTCTTCCTTCAGACAAAAAGGAAAGGGATCCTATCATCATTAAAAAAACAAACAATTATTGTATTAGAGCCCACAATGTCATTGGTTTTAAGACATACAGTAATATCATGAATAAAGAAAACTAGTGCCAATTTAACTATGACATACACTTTTAAATCATTTAAATTTTTTCCTCATAATTTCATTCTCTGAGCCATCAAGAGCGTTGGGGACCCCTCATTTCTTGAAAGAGTATTTCACTATCATCTCTGGGGTTTTCGTCTAAGCCACCGACACACATTCTACACGATTTGATGCTGATGCTTTCTTACCATAAGATGTTAACAGAAAGATTTTACACAACAACTAAGGTGATATTTTAAATTTAACATGTGTAGTATCAACAATACACATAACTCAACTGATGGGACAATGATATAAACAGCTATGATAAAAGTTCACAAAAGCACCAGTTAAGACAACTACAACACCACCTGGCCCAAAGTGATTCTAAGATGCTATCAACTGTAAGATGCATACCGATATTTCAGGGATGTTAAACTGTTAAAAAAAAAAAAAACCATACATCTTAGAATCAATAAAAAAAGGCAATCATAATAAAATGCTGAATCATGTCAGTCTATCAAACTGAGATCAACTTAAAGTAGTAATAAACATAATTTTTTTTTCTTTTTTTTATCTTTTATTGTACTTCAGGTGAAGGCTCACAGAACAAATAGTTTCTCATGAAACAGTGGTACACATGTTAATAAACATAATTTTTAAAAACTTTATTTTAATATAGCTTAAAGGAATAAAAAACCTATTCCTCTTCTCCTTCCTACTCTTTCTTTCTTCCCCAGTTTACATGAAAACATAAAGGTCAAAAAGGAAGTTTCTATGTTATCTAGAATTGACGATCAACAAAATAATTTTAAAAACTTGTTGCTCTATGTCTTTTGAAACACAGCCTAAAAAGCAAAAATATATACACCATATCTAGATCAAAACTCAGTAAGAGAAAGGTAAGGAAAAAAAACTTATTTTTTTTTTCGCTTTTTAAAAAATGATAGTGGTCCTTGGAAGCAGAAACTGATCTTGCTCTTCTAATGGAGAGGTATCTCTTCTGTCTTTGTATATGATAATTTTAATAATATGCTATTAAAAGGTAATTTTATATAAAACCTTCCTAAGGCAGAAGTAAAGGCTATACCGTAAAATAAAGACATCTTGCTTTAACCATTTTATGCATCATTCCAGAAAAGGAAAAGAAAATGGTTGACCTTTTGTAATCAAACTTTATAAAAATAGCTTTTGGGGGAAAGAAAAGGAAAAGTTTATTTTCCACTTACATCCTTTAAATAAGCATAACTCTTTTAACAGAGCAACACTGTGTGTTTGATAAGTATTGCATTTCCAAATGATATAGCTGTGAGATCAAATGATGCACTTTCACACACCTGAAAGAGATCCAAGAGGTCCCCATATCCTAGGGGTTTCCTTGCTCTGAGCAGTTTCACTGCATAATTGTAGTTTTTAATCCTGGAAAAAAAGAATTAAACTAGGATACCCCACTAAGAATCACATTAACAGGGGTTAATAAAAGCTTTATTGTGATAAATTTAACAATCAGCTAAATAACAAATTTTAATTTTTGTGAAAGAAATAAAATGTGACTTAGAAATGATTTCTATCCTCAAAATGCTTAAAATCTAGTTATGAGGAAGGCTGATATTCCTAACAAAATTAAAAAAAAAAGAAAGAAAACTTTTAATGGGTTCAAAAGGTCTGAATATATATTTAATTGATTCAAGAATATGAAGACAAATAAAAGCATAGGCAGCTTTATATTAAAGGCACATTATAGGACAGGGAAGGATTATTCAGCAAATGATGTTGGTACAACTGGTTAGTAATTTTGAAAAAGAAAAAAAAATCTAAATCCTCACATTGTACCATACATTACTAATTAGGGGGAAAAATCAAACTACAGAAAAACTAAAAGAAAATTAAAATGAACGTTTATTAACTGTGGAATGAAAAGGGCTTTCTAAAATGAGAGCAACAAAAGAAATCAGAGAAATTAATTACATAAAAATGAAAAGCATCTGTGATGGTTCACGTTCTACATCAACTTTGCTAGACCATGATTCTCAATATTATGTAATTATCTTCCATTTTGTGATCTGATGTAAGGGGCATTTCCTTGGGAGTGTGGCCTGCATCCAATATATATAGATGTTCTGGCAAAGCTGTCTCTCTCTCTCTCAATTCTGCATCCCACTTGTCATCATCTGACCTCCGGTTCTTGGGACATGAGCCAGCAGCCTGCCGCCTGACCTGCAGATCTAGGGATTCGCCAGCTCCCGCAGGTCCATGAGCCAGCAGCCTGTCGCCTAACCTGCCAATTTTGGGTTCATCAGCCCCTGCAACCACGTGAGTCAGGAAAAGCCTCCAGCCTGACACCTGACCCACAGATTTGGGACTTGCCAGCCTCCACAACTACATGAGCCATTTCCTTAAAATAAATCTCTCTCTCTCTCGCTATATATATATGCTTCACTGGTTTTGCTCCTCTAGAGAAGCCAGCCAAAGACAGCATCTAAATAAAAAAAAATTAAAAGATAAATGATCTGAGAAAAATATGATGTAAACATGATGGGAAGTTAACATTTCTGCTATATAAATAGCTAAAGCAAATTGAAAAGGAAAACTCAAAGGAATGAGTATAAAATAAGGAAATAATTTAATGCGTATAAAGAAAAATGTTCAACATAAAAAAGTCAATTACATAGAAGTCATTTATCTATTCAATTACCAAAAAAGATTTTTTTAAAATAATAATCCTGGCAAGGATGCTATAAAAATACACTCACTTACTGTTGGTAAAGGTGTAAACTTTCAGTCTTTTCAAAAAGCAGTGTGGTAACACATTCCAAAAACTTTAAACAAGTTCATATCCTTTAACTTAGTGATTTCAAATCTGGAAATTTCAAGAAATAACTCTAAATACTGAAACATGCCTAACACAAAGGAATGATTAAATAAACGGTAACTCATTTGCTGAAATACCATACAGCAATTAAAATTTAAAAACATATGGCATCAAAGAAAAATACTTATAATAAAAGACAGGATATGAAATAAAAAATTTAAAACAAACAAAAAAAAATCCAAGTGGGGGAAAATAAAAGCACATTATATTGTACACAAACTGTGTCATCACCCTGGCCAGACAGGTCAATTCGTGATTGCATGTCTTCTAGCCTGGATTACAGGAATAATCTCCTAACTGATCTCTGTTTCAGTGATGTTACAATGAAATATATCCTCCACACTGACACAGAATAATTGACTGCTTCAAACTCTCCAGTGGCTGTCCATCAAGCTGCTCTGTCTGTCACACAATGTCCCTTATGATCTCCCTGATACCTATTCTCCCCTTTATACTTTATACTCAAGCTGTAGTTGAATAATGTATCCAAATACACCAGCCATTTTATACCTCATGTATCTGTTTAAATAGTCCTTTTTACTTTCTACTTCTACATCTTACTTCTACATGCCTGGCTAACTCCTTTTTAGGTTTCAAGACTCAGATTCTGTTTCCAGGCTATGATCACATAGCAACTTATGTGTATATACTTCCATCCTGGCATTTATCACACAGTATTAAAATTCTATTTAGTGGTCTGTCTCCTTCACTACTCTGTTGACATAAACTAAACACGACAAAATTAAGGTACTCACATAAAGTGTAAAATTAAAGAGGGAAGAAAAACACACGAGTGGCAGCAGAGACTTGCTTACATCTTGGAGTGATTCATTTATTCAGTCTACATTTAATGAGTGCTTACTCTTTTCCATGTAATATGAGGAAGAATAAGATACTGACCCTGAGCGCAGAGAGTATGTCATCTAGTAAGGAAAGTTTCTGGCAATAGGAAATATATTTTGAATTTTAAGGACTTCAAAAGGTGTATGGAAGAGCATGTACGCTAAACAAAATGAATAGCACAAACATACTTTTCAAGTATATTTCCTGTACTTCCATATAAATTGTGAATTATATTACCCATCTTTGTATCCTCCCTAGTGATTCTTACATAATTATTTCTTTACTAAGAATCCACTGCATGATATATTCTAGAGATGTCTGTAAAATATCACAAGTACATATGCTGACAAGATAGAATATACTAAATAGATAAAATACCTTTTAACACAGGAAAAAAAAATCCACAGTATATTTACTCGTTGCTACTTAAATTAGATACCTTTAAGTAATAAAGCTATGTCGATATGAAAAAGATGGAGGAAAACTGTGAGAAAGGAAGAACACAAATCAGACATAATGATTATCTATTGAAAACTCTTATTATGTACTGACAGTAGCTGAAAGCCCAGGTGGATCTAACTGTCATGATTTTGGGTAGAGGTTAAACATACAATTGTAAAAAATATCACCGCTTCATTTATTTCCTTGTTTCAAACATCTATTCAAAAAGTAGATTCTCTGTTCATGTAATTTTTGTCTACCACAAGCCTTCTCAATTTCTAGTATATTATAAACTAGGATAATAAAAAACAATTTGCAATATATGGTAGTCAAATGAAACATAAAGGCATTTAGCCTTGTAAATGAAAAACTTTATGTTGTTAGCTCTCACTTGCAGAGTTTATTTTTAAAGAGAAAGAAAATTTTGAGATAATGATCTGTATACTTGAATCAATGCTGACATTACCTGGCATAGCATTCCCACTTATGTCAGCATTCATGACAGCAGTGAAAACAAAGAAAAATAAACATTAAAGGAGGATGCTTAAAAGAAGGGGAAATGTAAAGCAAAGATTATTCTATAATGTAAATAAACTTCCTTTGGAAAATAAATCGAAGAAAACTAAAGTTGGCTAGAAATCTGTGTTGAGTATAATTATCAGACTAGCTGATCCTAATCAAGGATTTTGATATTTATAGCAATCTTTTGTATTTTCTGAATATGCAAGGACATCTGAAAATTCAATATCCCATGTCATTAGATACTCAATTGTTTGGTATCTTTGACATCCATTACAGCACTACAATAATATCCTATATTCTCCTACAGTCTCAAAGACTATAGAGAAGTAAACATTTCTCAAGAAATTAAAAAAAAAAAAGTTAACTAAGCATTTTTCTCAGTATTAACTGTACTCTGTATTAACTATGTAGTTTAGAAACTATACACTAATTTAAACTCTTCACTTGTTTTTAAGAGATTGATTTTCAAGATGGCAGTGGTCTGTAAATATATCTCTTTTTAGGTATCAGCTGCTACAAACACTAAAAAAATACTAGGAAAAGTTTAAATACTAATATAACTCCTTAAATTCATGGCTCTGGATACTATAGTGAATAAAGTATAAACTATTAATTGTATTACATAAAGATCTGTTGTAGCTTGACCGGAATAAAGTTAACTGAATCAAAATGGAACAGCCCCTCTGTATATTAAACTCAACTGACTGAGCCAAAATTTTTCTTACTTGTCCTTGAGATTAACTAACTAGACATTTTATTTAGGTATAGAACACTGGAACAGACAGCGATCCTATGAAGAAATGAAACTTTTTTTAATCTTCCACCAACTACAGAACCAATAAAAAATTCTATGAGTGAAGAATAATTAAAGGACTTACCATATCAACGACAGTAGCAAAGGTAAATACCTGTAATGATACTCTAATATGACTAGCTACTGTCTCCAACTTCCCCACAGTCCACTAATTTCCCCATGGTAGCTAATCCACCCAACATGCATCTCCCATAACCCATGTGCCCACCGTCCCAACCCAACCACCTTTGCCATTCCCCACCACTTTCACCACATCCCTCCTCAATATGCACACAGAGCCTTGCCACAGCCATGAATAATGCTATAAAATTATTTGGTGTTTTGAGAGACTGTTCAAAATCTGGGAAGAAGTTGTGAGAAACAGATGCAACTTAGGAAAGCTAACCCTAAGAGCAAATTTCCAGTTAACGCAAGCTAGCCTAAGTAAAATCCACTCTCACCTCCACCCCTAAACTGCCCCCGAAAATCTTCATCTTGAAAATTATATTTGAAATTATACCAATATGAGATTTAGTGGCATCCTTTTAAAAAATGTAAATAGGTTTAGGAGAATAAAAGAGGTTCTTTATTATTTGGACTTGGTATATATTAATTTAATAGGGCTGCTTTTCTCCTATAACTAGCTGACGTTAATAACACTGATGGAAATGCAGATTAAAGGATCAGTGAAGTAAGTATAAAACACTAGGGAGGGAGTGGCTAGTGTGGAAATCTTAAGGTACCATGGCAGCACAGTGGCAGGAAGAACATGGTCTCTGAACAATCAATCTTGGACTTCAATCTGATTCTACCACTTATCACATGACCTTGGGAAAGTAATATAATCTCTTTGCATCTCAATTTTCTTTTATAAAATGAGAATAATATTATTTCCCCCCAAGGCTGACTTATATAAGACAGAGTTTGGAGAGTGGCACAGCTGCCTTTCATATAACAGATTCTCATAAAACGCCAGCTTCCCTCTTTTCCATGTTCATTACTGAGGCAAGAATAGAAGGCACCAAAAAAAGAGAAAGGAGTAAATTGGGTGGTGAAAGGGTGCCAAAGAGAAACTCTAGAAAATTCCTCCTTGAAAACCATATTCCATCAAGAGGAGGTAAGATAACACTTTTGCTTTCTTTTCTCCAACCCACTCCCATTTTTTCTTCCTGACTAAATTGCCTTAGACCTTGGACTCGAAACTCAAATAGTACTACTAAATGTATAATAACACTTATGAACTGTTGATATATTAAAGATAAAAGAGACCTTGGAAGGTGGACTGGGAACCCACCTTCCATTCAACTCAATACAACAAATGTTAATGTCTTTCACGGGGAAGGTATGTCCTAGATGGTTAGCAAGAGGTGGAGGAGAATGCAAAGATGAGTAAGAAAAAATCCTTGTCCTTAAGGAGTTAGCAATTTTAAGGTTTCTGACTTCAAAGAATGTTTTAATATTCATCTCTGGGAAACCCAATCAATCAGGTTGTAAGTTAAAGACTCTTACATTTTGTATGTCATTATGAGTAACATGCTACAGACGAGGAAGAGACGCTACAAAAAACTGACGGCTTTTTAAGATTCTGCTTTTACTATTAATTTTTCATTCACTGTTGAATTTTTAATGCAAAAAGTTACCTGCCAAAATTTCGGTGCTTCGTGCAGCTATTGTTTTAACTTTTATTATTCCTGATTCAGCAGCCTGCAAAAATAAAAATAATTAGAACAAAAAAACTTACTATTAACATGAATTGTGCAGAGAAAAGAAATCATACATGACAGATAAAACCTCACGCACAAATAGTCAGTCACTAACACCTTTCTGTATTTTCAAAACATAGATATTAAGCCTGGTAGTGGCATATACATTAAATGCAATCAAATATGATTAATTTAATCAATCACATACAATGTACTACCCTATGTTGCCTTCCTCTGCCATGAGGCATATCTGGAATAGCTCAAGTTTGCATCAATTTTAATGTCCAGAAAATAAAAAATAACAACAGAAACAAAACTTAACAGAAAAAATCAGGTTTGTCCTCCCCAAGTCACCCTTCCCCTCTCTACAACACAAACACAAAAAAATCAAAACACAACAAAATCAAGTGAAACTACTGCTCTGGATTAGAAGAGCCAGTTTTCTGCACTTGATATGTGGTTAGTTCTAACTGAGCTTATCTTCTAAGTGTAAAATAAAAATCCAAAACGAGGTGCTGGGAAGCTGATTCTGAATCATGGCAACCCTATGTGTGTAAGAGTAAAACTCTGCTCTATAAGGGTTTTTAATGGCTGGTTTTTCGGAAATAGATCACCAGCCTTTCTTCCGAGGTGCCTCTGCGTGGACTAGAATCTACAACCTTTCAGTTAGCAGCCAAGCACACTAACTGTATGCACCACTCAGGGACTCCTAGATATAAATTACACACTGGATATTGAAAGTGTAATACGAAAAGAGAGTGTAAGATAGCTCTTCAATATTTACATTGATTATATATGCTGAAATAATGTTTTGAATATATTGGGTTAAATAAAATATATTACTACAGTTAGTTTTCCCTATTTGTACTTCTTTAATGCAATTTAAAATTACATATGTCTTGCATTTGTGGCCCATATTATATTCCTATTAGACAGTGATGACATAAAACACTGATATATTATCCACATCATAGAAACTTAGAACATTTTTCTATCAAGAAGTGTGGCTACTTCATACTTACAGTGGTCTCTACATCTCCAAAAATAATACATAAACACTCATAAGACATAATATATCCAAGTTTTCCTATTAATTTTTCTTGCTACTTGCCCATTTATTATCTCTTGCTGCTTGCTAAGGATAAGTGATTCAAAGGCTCTAAAGTTGTAAAAATAATTATGGAAGAACACCAGTGTTCCATGGATTCTTACTCTGAGGACGAGCTGGTTAACACATAAAATAAACAATCGATTCTAGAATATACTATGTGTAGTGGGTCTTTGTTACTTTGTTGGCTTCCAAGCATGTGAAAGCCCTGCCAATGACTGGAAAATTCCCAATTTCATGTGCTTTGGTGCAAGACAGAGCTCATCTTCCACTATTAAAACTGAAAATTCCAGAGACTTTCTTCCCCACATGACCTGGCAACCTAAGCTTAGTTAAACATATGCACCCATCAAGCATTTGAATATGTAGGCTAGTGGCACAGAAAAGCCGAGGCAAGAAAGAATTCTGAAAGTAGCGATAGTGGAGGCAACATCTAGCTGCCAAGAGCAGTGCTAGCAGCAGAACCAGTGGTGACATCGAGTGGCCAGTGCAAGCAGCAGTGCAATCTGTAACACACAGTCTGTGTTCAACAGAGGCAGCAGTAATGGTCTCACGGGCGCCTGCTCCAGCTCTTTAGCCTCCCTTTGTTACTGCAGTTTTCCTAGGGCTTTTTCCCTCCTGCCTTCTACCAACTCTGTGAGCCACACAATCCTATCAATTAATTTCATGTCTGCTTATATGAGCTTTCACTGCCTCCAACTAAGATGCCTAACGGATATACTAGGTCTTACTTCTAAAACTTTAAGAAAGTTTTATCGATGCCTTTGTAAATTGTTTTTTAAGACAAGGAAAATGCTTTTCTTTTAAAAAGAAAGATTAAAAAAGAAACTTAATTCACCTGGATCCGCTTAATTTGGTAGTAGCAAGAATAAAGTACTAATCACTACTGAAATGTGTTAACCTTTTAAAAGAAAAAGATCATTAAAGTTGATATGCTTTCCGACTTGTTTTACAATTTTATTTAAGAAGCAATCTTAAAAAACCACTCAAAGTAAACTGATACATAGGACCTTATCACATACAAGCTTTTCCACAAATGAAGAGAAACAGCAATCACACAGTGAGGCAATGGAAGCTCTGCTCAAAGGTATGAAAAGGAACCCTTCGGCTAAAGGACATTAAACATTGTTCATTTACCTTATGAGAAAACAAATGAACCCCTGCTCTACGGCTTCTGTCAATAATCCTCCCTCCTCTTTCCCTCCAGGACACTGACGTCAAATTTCAGGGAGAAATATCTCCTCCTCCTCCTCACCATCATTCTACCCCACTAAAAATAGGGGGGGTCCCCCAAAACAAGACAGTTTGAAGGAAAAGAAGGGGAAAATAGCATCTTCAAAGTTTCTTTCATTCATTCATCTACCAAATATATACTGAATGCCTACTACATATCAGACACTGTTCTAAACAACAGGATATAGCAGAAAAAAAACTTTTTGAGTCCAACCCTCTTGGAACTTATATCCTCGTGGGAAAGAGAGTCAATAAAGCAATAAACAAATCTGTACTAGGTAAGGTGGCAGGGCTTCGAAGCCCTGCTGAGAATTTGCGTTTCCAACAAGTTCCCTGCTAAGATTTCCATATCTAACAAGTTCCCAGGAAGTTATAAAGAATCAGCTGGGCATCTTATTAAAATGTAGATTCTGATTCAGTGTATCTGTAGTGGAAATGCAAATTCTCAGCAAGGGTTCAAATCAGAACAAACTGGTTGGAAGCCCTGAAAGGTAGTGGTAAGTGCTATAGAGAATAAAGCCAGGTATGTAAGAGTGGCGGAGGTGGGGAAGAGTTCCATGTCCTTTCTCATTTGGCCAATCTTGTATTTCTAGGAATAAGTTTTGGAGAAGTAATCAGGGAGCAGTTTCAAAACTTCAGTAATCAGGTAAGGATATGCTCAAATGGTAAACTTGTTACAACTTGCAAGGACCTTCCATGAGTGTAAGGTACTGAAAATGAATGACAAGTTGTACTTCTAGTGTCTTAAACCTAGAAATTCTCATAGAACAAAATGTAGTAAAAATCTGCCACGCCTATAAGAGGTCTAATACAGGGTATTACTACTAACATTAACTTATATTTATATGGCACTTTATTGTTTTTATGGTGGTTTTACACCACCATTTCATTGGATCTGCACAACGAGGTGTGCAGCAGAGAGGCAAAGTTTCTTATCTAGAACTCTTGGGAGCAACATTTTTTTTTCTGCAGTCTCTGGCATACTCTGACTTTCCTACTCTCCCATTACCTATGACAAGGCTCCAGCATTAAAAGAAAAAAAAAAGCAGAGTCAGGATTATAACATAGGAATTCTGACTCTTCCTGGTCTAGTTTTTTTGGACATCAGAAACATTTTCTCAACTTTTTTTCACTACAGTGCAATACCTAATGATCCAACCCAGACCTCAGCCTGACCTATAGCGTCAAGTACCAGGACCAATCACAAGTGCACCTCTACTGCCTCCTTTCTTGACACAAAATAAAACCCCTCAGTAAGCTTCTAGGCTAGGCTAGTGTTAACTTACTGTAAAAAATACATATGTAAATTCTGCAGTTCACTGAGGTTTATTCACTCAACAAATATTTACTGAACACACCTATGTGCCCAGCACTGTTCCAGGCAATGGGAAAACATCAGTGAACAGAATTACAGTCTAGTGGGAGAAGACAGACAACATGCAAACAAGAAAGTAAATTATACAGCGTATTTGGAAAGAAATAAATAGCTGAGATAGTGGACAGGGAGTACTAGGGAAGGAGGGACTGCTATCTTAAAGAACTGAGAAAGTAACATGTGAGCAAAGACTTGAAGGAGGTGCAGGAGCACGTCAGGGTGCTAGAGCACTCCAGGAAGAAGGAACAGCAAGTGCAAGGTGCTGAAGTAGAAGTGACAGTGCTTGATGTGTTCAGGAACCAGCAAGAAAGCCAATGTGGCTGGAGTGAACTGAATGAAGGACAGAGTGGTGGGAGGTTAGGTAGAAGGCCAAGGGCAGATTTTTTAAGTAGAAGGCACTGCCAGGGCTGTGGCTTTTATTAACATAGTACTCTGAGTGGGGATGGTAAACCAGTGGAGGGTTTTGTGCAGAGTAGTTACATGATCTGATTTAGGATCTAACAGTGTTACTCTAAATGCTGTGTTGAAAATTGACTACTTGGGGCAGCAGGTGGGGAGATCAAGAAAGAGAGAGACCATTTAGGAGGCTACTGCAGTAATACAAAAGCAAGAGATGGTGGTGGACAGGCCCTAGGTGGTAAGAAGTGGTCAGATTCTGGATGTATTTTGAAGATGTACAAATTTTAGTAAATTTACTACTGTAAAAACTAAATTAAAGAACATTAAAATTATTAATTTGTAATACACACTACATCTCAAATGCTCTTGGGTAAATTTCTTACTAGAGCAGTGGAATTAATCTGTGCTCACTGAGGCTTCTTTCATCATTTCCAAATGTTTAACCCCTTCCTCCCCTCCTCACTCTGGCTCTATATACCTTGTATATACCCAATATTCAATATTTCACTTTGTCTCAGTGTCAACAGAGAGTGACTGAACTGAACCTTCATAGATACCAATGTGATCTGTCGTGACTTTCTGGATTGTAGTGAGTTTAGTCCTTACTAGTTACCAAAATCAGTTCTGTAGCATGCTAAATGTTTTATTTCGGTAAAGGATTTCAAATATGCCAGACACTATTTTAATTTCCTTAGAAAAATAAGAGTTGGCGCACGTATGTATACGTATGTTTAACAAATATTTTAATACATACAGACAATAAGAAGGAATAAAGAGCCTTTTTTAAAGTCGTTTTGGAGCAGTATTTTAAAAAATACATAACCAGTATTTTCAATCCTAAATTCAAGGAATCATCAAAAAGGCTGTTTTTTTGCCTTACATATAATTAAAACTATAGTTCCTCACGTTTTATATCCAAGTCTCTGTTGTCAAAATACTTTGAAACCGTAACATCTTATTCTCATAGGCACGCTATGTTGCTGGAAATTCTCATTATCAATGTTTATTGACAACACTTATATATCACGGGTTCCCAACCACTGCAGTGTTACTTTAGCATACCCAGGCCTAGTCTAGATCTTTAAGAGTGTCCTGTATGAACGGAGATCTTCAGTCTCAGATTTCCTTCTACTTATCAAAGATTCTCTGTATGAAGAAGAGGATAACTTCTTGCTTTAAATAATATCCCATAAAATAATTAAACACAGGGAAATGTATACACAGTGATTCACTACGGATTTAAAAAATATTTTTGAGAATTATAATACATTATACCTTTCTTAAGAGTTCAAAATGACATGTTCATAATCTTTAAAAGGTAATAGCAAAATACAAAAGGAAAGAAGGAAGTTCCTTCATGGGCACTTTTAAGTATCTCATAAATAACACAAAAATCACTAACTACTAGAAACTGTCTTTCCCTTTCTAAAAGAAAATAACTTTTTTTCCATATTACAAAGAAATACATGCAAAAGCTGGACAATGAATAGGGAGGACCGAGGAAGAGTTGATGCCTTTGAATTATGGTGTTGGTGAAGAATGTTGAATACACCATGGACTGCCAGAAGAAGAATAAATATGTCTTGGAAGAAGTACAGCCAGAATGCTCCTTGGAAGCAAGGATGGCGAGACTTTGTCTCACATACTTTGGACATGCTATCAGGAGGGACCAGTCCCTGGAGAAGGACACCAAGCTTGGTAGAGGGTCAGCGAAAAAGAGGAAGACCCTGAACAACGTGGACTGACACAGTGCCTGCAACAGTGGGCTCAAGCATAATGATTGTGAGGATGGAACAAGACCAGGTAGTGTTTTGTTCTGCTGTACACAGGGTCGCTATGAGTCAGAACCGACTTGACGCACTTAGCAACAACTGTATATGTCTTACCACAATTAAAAAAGAATGCCTATTCAGTCAGCCTCTGAGGGCCCTGCCTGAGAAGGGGAAAATAAAAAAGGTCACCAAGTCTTACAATTAACTTACCTGCTAAATTTCTTTTTAATCCATACCCTCTCCTCTCCTGCCTACCTCATTGCAAGCAACCTCAGGCCTACCTCTACTGATGCCTCAATCCAGGAAATAAATTCTAAAAATTTTGTCTCATTGCCTCAAATCTCAATCCCCTGTAATTTTTCCTACTAATACTGTCAAGGTAATGTTACTAAATATGAATCTGATCATATTACAGGTAGTCCTCGAATTATGACATATTCGAGTTAGGATGAACCACACTTACAAAACAGTCCTTTTTTTGGTACATCTTATTGTTAGTAATATGTACTACATACAATGTTGCAGCGCATAACATGCTGATGTTATCATTATCAGATGTAATGTTACCAACCCCCTAAGACAAACAAAATTGGATTTAGTAAGATACTGGTAACAAAAGGCAATAATAATGAAAACAAAAAAATGAGGTACTCAACTTACATCAGAACCAACTTATAATGGAGTACTCGTCGTAAGGGAACCTCGCTGTAATTCGGGGACTACCTGTACTCCTCTTAAAAAGGTTTAATGGCTCCCAATTACCTTCAGCATGAAATTTATTTTGCATGGAATACAAACACCATTTACTACTTCCTCTGCCTAGAATGACCTCCCCCGTCCCACTTCTTCTATTGGCTAATTTCTACTCATCTTGTAAAACTCAGTTCAAGAATTATAAACTCTCTCTGACCACACCTCCAGCCTATGCTACGTTTCCACAGCATTGTGCCTGCAACAGGAGATGATCATATTCTTTGAGCACATGAACATAAAGCTTCAGAGGTCACTGCCTCTGAAGGCCACTGAAGATCAACTACATAAAAGTTGATCATAAAAGATCAACTACTACCAAGTAATTTTTAAGGCAAAGAAAAAAATTTTTTTCGTAAGGAAAATACACTGGAACAAGATGACTGATAACACTTGCACTAAAAAAATATGCTGCTGAAGCATGATGATTTATATTTAAGAACTAAGAAAAATGCACAGATAAAAAAAGGATTTTACTGCTTTTATTATTTAATCACTGCCTTTATTATGAGATGACAATAAAATTGTGGCCACTACAAAAAAATTAATATGCAAAAGATAAATCTGTAAATGAAAACAACTATGAAAAAAAATCCAGATAGGAAATAAGTATCACTAAATGAAACACTGTCCTTTATCAGTATTCTTTTCTTCTATTTATCTAACAGGTTTGAAATCTAAAAAATTCATATTAATTTTTTTAAAAGATTTACAACCATAACTAGATAAACTAGATAACTGGGAGCTCCTAAAAATTAAATACTTTTGTTCATCAAAAGACTTCACCAAAAGAGTAAAAAGAGAAACTACAAACGGGAAAAAATTTTTGGCTATGACATATCCGACAACTGTCTAATCTCTAAAATCCACAGACTACTTCAATATCTCAATAATAAAAAGACAAACAATCCAATTTAAAAATGGGCAAAGGATACGAACAGACACTTCACCAAATAAGACAGTCAGGAGGCTAACAGATGCATGAGAAAATGCTCGAGATCATTAGCCATTAGAGAAATGCAAATCAAAACTACAATAAGATACCATCTTACCCCCACATTTGTTGTTGTTAGGTGCTGTTGAGTCAGTTCCGACTCACAGTGACCCTAAAGGACAGAGCAGAACTGTCCCGTAGGGTTTCCAAGGGGTGATTGGTGGATTTGAGTGCTTGGTGGATTTGAACTGCCGACCTTTTGGTTAGCAGCCAAGCTCTTAACCACTATGCCACCAGGGCTCCAACATTTCTAGCACTAATAAAAAAGACAGAAAATAACAAATGTTGGAGAGGTCACAAGGAGGTTGGAACTCTTATGCACTGCTGGTGGGAATGTAAAATAGTATAACCGCTATGGAAAATGATATGGCACCTCCTTAAAAAGCTAGAAATAGAAATACCATACAATCCAGCAATCCCACTCCTAGAAATATATCCTAGAGAAGAGCTGTCACACGAACAGACATATGCACACTCATGTTCTTTGCAGCATTATTCACAAAAGCAAAAAGATGGAAACAACCTGAGTACCCATCAAAAGATGAATGGATAAACAAATTATGGTACATACACACAATGGAATACTACACAATGATAAAGAACAATGATGAATCCAAGAAACATCTCCCAACACAGGTGAATATGGAGGACATTATGCTGAGTGAAATAAGTCAATCACAAATGGACAAATATTGTGTAAGACAACTATTATAAAAACCCAAGAAAAGGTTTACACACAGAAAAAAAAAAAATCTTTGATGGTTACGAGGGAGAGGAGAGCCAAGGAGGGGAAATCATTAACTTGATAGTAGACAAGTGTTAACTTTGGCAAAGGTAAAGACAACACACAATATAAGGGAAGTCAGCACTACTTGATCAAGGCAAGGTCACAGAACTTTCCTAGACACATCCAAACACCTTGAGGGACCATGGTCTTGGGGGACATCTAGGGCAACTGGCATAACATAGTTCATAAAGAAAATAGTCTACATCCTACTTTGGTGAGCAGTGTCTTAAAAACCTGCAAGCAGCCATCTAAAATATAAAATACATCTATTGGTCCCATCACATTCAGAGCAAAGGAGAATGAATAAAACCAAAGACACAAGGAAAATATTAGTCCAGAGGACTAACAGACCACATGAACCACAGCCTCCACTAACCTGAGCCCAGAAGAACTAGATGGTGCCTGGCTACCACCACCAACTGCTGACAGGGATCACAATAGAAGGTCCCAGAAGAGTGGGAGAAAAACAAAATTCAAACTCACAAAAAAAGACCAGACTTACTGGTCTGATAGAGGCTAGAGGAACCGCAAGACTATGGCCCCCAGACACCCTGCTAAATTAGCACTAAAGCCACTATCATAGTCCACCTTTCAGCCAAAGATTAAACAGGCCCATAAAACAAACAATAACGCATGTGAGGAACGTGCTTCTTAGTTCAATCAAGTATTCGAGACCAAATGGCAACACCTGCCCAAAAGCAAAGACGGCAGGAAAGGACAAGAAAACTGGAGAATGGACACGGAGAACCCAGAGTGGAAAGGGAAAGGAGGAGGGTGCTGACACATTGTGGGGATTGCAACCAATGTCACAAAACAACTTGTGTATAAATTTTTAAATGAAAAACTAAAAAAAAAAGATTTATAGCCAAGCACTATGGTCAAAAAAGAAACTACTAAAAACCTGAAGTAAAGACTTATCTTACTCAATTCTTACTTATTTTAAAAATTATTAATGAGCCATCCCTTCCAAAGCACACTTGCAATTAGAACAGATTTTAAATTCTATTGTATTAGGTTCTTGAGTAGCCTTATAAACAGCATAGAATGTGTGTTTTTCAAGTAATACCTGTGACAACACTGGCAGCATGTTAACTAGATAATCAATCTAGAAACAGAAAACTTCTTATACTTAGGGTAAGGCTTTTCCTTAGGGTCGACTTAGAACCCAAAAAGAAAACACAAAACAAAATTTACCAGTTCCTTAAAGGACAAAAGTAAAAAATTGGCATTTATTTAATTACTAGGGAAAGTTTAATTCAACAAAAATATTTCTTGAAAGTCAAGGCTTTCTACTAAAAAAAAAAAATCATCACTGTTAGGCTAATTATTTCATTTTTGTTTTAAACCAGTGACGCAGGTCAAGAACATTTTCCCCTTCCTAAAATAGAGCCTCAAGCATAGTAGAAGTGGGGTTAAAGATTCAAGGCTTTTTGTTCAATAAATTCTTATTGAGCATCTACTATTTACAAAATTAAGTACCAGAGATAATCATACCAAGAATAGCTTTTGTTATTATCTTACAGACAAGGTACATTACTAAATATCTCTTTAGCCTTTAGCCAGCGTTCAAGTAAAAGATAATGAGCTTTATCAGAAGTCCCAAAACTAGAAATGGGTTGAATTCCAAAAATCTGTTACCTGTTTGGAACTCTGAATGCATTTTCCCACAGAAATCCTGTAATAAAGAGTAATTAAATTCCCAAGCGAGCCCACAAAGACCTATAATATTAATATAGGGAATCCCCAGTACTTATATGAGTTTTAAGAACTGGGACCATCCATCCTATACATTACAGTTGAAATTACAAAGCAGGACTTGATATTTTCTCAAAAGAAAGCATTTCTCTTACAATTATTAACAGCCGAATTCTTTAAAATAGTTTAAAACAGTTTACTTCTTTAAAACTGTTTAAACGTTCTTTTAACAGACAGGTGATAGAGAAAATTTTAGAGAAAATCATTATCAAAACTACTGAACATTTGGAATAAAACATATCATCATAGCTATCTTTCCAAAAGTGGCACACCTGGTTTCCACTGTTGAGTACTATTTGCTTAGTATTTTATTAAAGAAATACTATATGGAAATTTGGAGCCCTGGTGGTACACTGGTTAAGACCTCAGCTGCTAACCAAAGGATCGCAGTTCGAATCCACCAGCCTCTCCTTGGAAACCCTATGGGGCTGTTCTACTCTGCCTTACAGG